TCCTGGTGGCTGGCATTTCTCTTGCACAGTGTAAGGTGTGATAAACCTTACAAGCTATCTTGTACCAGTGGTAGGCCCACCAATGATGTTAGAATGAAGTTTATGTAATAAAATGGAGAAATTGGTCTCTAAAGATTTATTTCTCTACATAACGTGTAATAACACTCCTGTGTTTATCTTGCAGAAGAGTGCATAATGTTATGTTGTAACTAGAGGACATTGTTTTAAATTGAGACCTAACCTTTAGTTATACAGGAATGTACATTCCTGAACAGAAATTGGGATGCTTACTGTATTATTTATAAGTGGTGATGGGACCTAAGTATAGCACTAACCAGTAACTGTTAACAAACTATTTTCATAAGAAAGTTAAAATAATCAGACCTCTTTGTGAAAATGTTTCTTAAATTCGGAGTTATTTCAAGAAGGTTTTCTGGGCATGAGTTGGAATCTGCGGTCAGAAAAAAAAAGATCTAAAATCAGGTCTTTCCAAATCCCAGTTGAGTACATTAACAATCAAATATTTCACTTGTGTGAGGAACAGTCTTCCAAAAATTCTTTTTGCCAGTACAATTCAGAGCAAAATAAATGCCAAAGCTATTTATATTTTTTTCTTTGTTTTTGGGTAGATTTCTGATAAACTTAACTTAGAATCTGAAAGCAGCTGGTGATCCTTTTGTACTGATGTCTGACTATTATTTTTGTTATGAATATTTGACTGTAATTTTATCATTAAGAAATGTTGCAGTTACTACTAAGTATTTACTGAAAGCACAGAGCAAAACCTAACCTGACAAGTCTTTAAAAGAAGGATGACCTTGTGATGGAAATACTGTGATTAATGGGCTGGTTCTTGTATTTTTATTTTTTTTTTAAGGATCCTGCTGGTTTTTTTAGACTTTGATACAGCACAATAATATTAATCAAATTAAAGTGCACGTAGTGGTCTGTGGTCGAAGAGGTAGGAATCATAGGGAGAGATGTTTATCTTTTGTCACCTGTTTTCATAGGAAGCTCATTTGGAAAGGCTTAGACAGCTCCACGGTGTGCATGCCCTGCAAAGACAGAACTCATTTGCATCTAATAATTTGCAGCCTAAAGAGATCACATTGGGACAGATACGATCTTTTGCCTTTCTAACATTTAATCCAAGGAATCAGAAGGGGAAAATAGCTGTTAAACGACATGGCCATCTACTGATAGAAAACTGTATAGCTTCTAAAATGTATGTGACTGGAAGGAAGGGAGCATAGATTTTAGTATTTGGTTAATACGAATTCTCTAAAGATGCCATCCTCCACAGGGGAGAATTGTATGAAGAGCCAACAGCATTTAAGGAAGAGCAGGTGTAAACAATGGATCACCAGATTACTAGGTAGAGTTCGTCCACCTAGGAAAAAAATACTAGTAGAATTACAGACACATAAATCCTCTTGTGGATAATCCATTTTTGATATGTGTGTGCATGCATAAGTCTCACTGCTCTAACTTCATGCAGGTACTTATACCTTCCAGTCAGCAGTGTGAATGCAGCCCCGGAGGTAAGCATGTCACTGGGTCCTTAAGCTCAGATGCTTAAGGAATTCCAAGGTCCCTTCTTCCCCTTTTCCTACTTTTACACCACTGGAAGTGAGCAAAGACTGTAGAAATCTCCAGACTATGAAGACACATCATGCAACATAAAACTTCAGTCAGTCTTCTAAGTGGTGTGCAACCGATACTCTGCAAGAAATAAAGAACTCTGTCCAATCTAGAGCATCTCCAGTTTACATTTTACTAAAAACAGCTAAGAAAGATGTTTGGTATTTAGACACTTCCTTGGTGGAAGCAACATCGGAAACACCTAAATGAAAGGATATGTGAGAAATAGAGCTGTGCCAGTAGTTAAGGGGTTACCCATCAGGTTTGTTTGTGACTCATCCTTCCTGGTCCTTCTGAGTCCCTTCAGCACTGCTGTGATACAAATGTCAGCAAAGTAATTATCTTGTGGACTTTCAGGCCAATTCACCTCTGACATCTCTGTAAATGCACTTTTCTCTACAAGAATGTGTAGCAACCAATTAATGTTTCTTCCATGAACTGTTCTAAAAAAGAATTCTTTCGCATAACTATCAAGTTTGATACTGGCTGCAGCTGTTTCAGACATGAAGTACCACCTCAAGGGAGATTATACCAGTTAGCCCAGGGGTTTTTTTTTGCCAGTAAGAGGTGAGAGGCAACCTTCCAGAACGAAATTACCTCTTTGCTCTGGACTCTGCATTAATATAAAAATTATCTGAAGAGAAGGTAAGATCACAGAAGTAGGCAGAATTTAAATGCCAAGCAGAAAGTAGAAATAGCAACATTTGACAGAGGTGAGAATAAGCTGCTACGGATTGAGGCAGAGATGCAATGTCTTTCAATCAGCGTTAACATGCTGCCCTAAGACTACAAAAAGAAAGTTTAACTGTCCCCTGCGGAGTAGCACAATGAGCTAATCTTGCAAAAGAACTGTGCACTAACAGATGAGTGCTTGTGTGGATACTTGCACTCTCTGTGTATGTATATGTGCTTCTTGTGGATACAAATGAAGCAAATACCTTCTGATGTGCTAGTATACAGCAAGAGTGTAGTGTGTCATATGTATGTCAGATGTACTATGTCCAGACAAGTCCTTCAAGATATTCCAGCTAATTTAGGTACATAATTCATTTTAGGGAAAGTGTGGACATGAATGACATATGCACATATATGTGTGTGTGGAGAATATGTACTGGCAGTTAAGTGACCCTCTGTGATCAGATGGATGAGGAATGAATGAGTGGAAAGGTTCACAGGCTGACGGCTTCTTAACATCAGTGTAACTAGGAGCCGAAATCAAGCTACATTCATCCTCAATGCCTAAAAGGAAGATAGGGGCAAAGTTAGTCCTTTCCTGTCCTGCAAGTGCTGTCTGAGTTACTTCAATTTCTGACACAATTAGTCCACATATAGAAATATATACTAACATACATTGTGTCACAGTGGCTACCTGTCAGATGGGAGTTAGAAAACACATTGTCAAAAAAATGGATAACAGCATTCGGTATCTAGCTCTGATTTATGCCAGTATAATAATTGAAAGCTACCATTGATGACTGCTACTTGTCAGGAAATGCACGTGGCAGGATGGTCAGCCAAGGAAAAAGTATGTGTGGTACAAATGAATGAAGTAATGTGATGCCAAAGGGATGAAGTTCACTTTGATCTGTTTTTGGTCCCTGTCATGGTTTAGACAGCTATTCAATCACCTGATGACTCCTCCTCATGAGGGGAGAAGAATCAGGAAAAGGAAAGGAGACCCATGGATTGAAACAGAAACAGATTTAATAAAATCAACATAATAAAATCCAATATTAATAAGAGTATTAATGTAAAGTACACAGAGTTATACTCTGCTGATATAGTGGTCACAAGCTGTGATGGTCACAATGAGCAAGGAAGTAAGCCTCAGAAATAGAATGACAGGCAAGACCCTCCTGGGACAACAGACACTGAGGACAGAAGGCCCTCCCCAACAAATGCCCCATGTAGTGAGCATGATGTTTATAGTATAGAATAATTTCATTGGCTATCCTTGGGTCAGCTTGGGGTCAACTGCCCTGGGTTTTTGCTCCCTCCAGCTTCTGCACCCGTTTGACTCAAAACTGCTAAAGACGTTGATCACCACATGCCATTGCTGGCTGAAGACTAAAACTAAGTGTTTTATCAACTTTGTTCCCTTGCAATCTAATCTTGTAGTCTTCGCAGAAATGCAGCAATGCAGCTTTCCTGAATAGAAAATTGATTCTGTGATTCTAACCCACCAAAACCAGGATAGTATTCCGCCCTTTATTCAATACCATTTATGTCGCACCTAAGTCATTATTACTATTCTCATCTTTGAGTATATATATTGCATTGCATGGCTAGACTTCGCAAACGAAGATAAGGGAAGGACACTACCCA